TGCCTGTAATCCTAGCTACTCAGGAGGCTGAGATCTGAGGATCATAGTTTGAAGCCAGCCCAGGAAGGAAAGTCCATGAGACTCTTATCTCCAGTTAATCACAGAAAAAGCCAGAAGTGGTACACAAGTGGTAGAATACTAGGTTTTGAGCAAAAAGAGCTAAAGGACAGTGCCTACGCCCAGAGTTCAAGGCCCAGGACCAACAAACCAGCTTTGAACCTTGGTCCTCATACCTTAGCCTCCTGAATATCTAGGTCCTATCTTGACTGATGTAGGTACATAGAGTTTGGAGTTATACAAGCTTCTGTTTCATATATGTAACATAATTTACCAGTTCATTCCTTGATTTCATTACTCAAATTTGTCCTGTGCACCTACTATGGCCTGAGTCCATTTGAACCAAGAGAGTTCAGTAATGAGCAAGGAAAGTTTTTGCTCTTGTTAAGCTGATCTTCTGAGTTTGTTTATTTTTTGTTTTTGTTTTGTCAGTCATGAGGCTTGAACTCTGGGCCTGAGCGCTGTCCTTTAGCTCTTCAGTTCAAGGCTAGCGCTCTACCTCTTGAGCTACAGTGCCACTTCTGGTTTTCTGGTGGTTTATTGGAGATAAGAGTTTCACAGACTTTCCTGCCCAGGCTGGCTTTGAACCATGATCCTCAGATCTCAGCTTCCTGAGTGGCTAGGATTACAGGCGTGAGCCATCGGCGCCCAGCTTTCTGAGTTTTTATATTTGTTAGTTTGTTTTGTTTGCCTTGTTTGGTTTTGTGCGAGTCCTGGGGTTTGAGCTCAGGGTTTGGGCACAGTCCCTGAGCTTCTTTTATTCAAGGCTAGCACTCTACCACTTGAGCCACAGTTCCACTTCTGGTTTTTCTGTGATTAATTGGAGAGAAGAGTCTCATGTACTTCCTTGTGCATTTCCTTAGATCTCAGCCTCCTGAATAGCTAGGATTACAAGCACAAGCCACCAGTGCCCAACTCTGATGTTCTAATTTGAGCTTGAAAATGCAAACATTTAAACTGGGGCATGATGAGGGTCAAAGAGTAAGAAGTGTTGGGAGGTAAAATCTGAAGCACTGAAAGTGCTGAGTGCTGAGCTAGGTAGCTATAGTAGTGGGACCACACATCTTATTTTGCCCAGAATTGAACCAGGTTAGCACTGATAGCCCCAGATCCCAGACAGATCAGGATGAGCTACCATCTGTAGTCAGCACAGGCCTCTCTAGCTAACACTGAGGCACAGACTTCTGCTGTGCTGGTAAAAACCAGCCATGCAGATATTGAGGGACGAGCTTTTTTAGACAAAGCCAAAGCACAAGGAGCTGGGGACGAAAGGGCACTTGATGTGCTTGAAGGATATGGAGAGAGGTTGGGGTGGGGGAGGGGGGCAGTCAGGGATGGGGAACCACGGGTAGGGTATTGCTGGGAGCTGGGAGCCAGGTTGAACATTCACAGACCACGTACAGGCTCGGGGCTTTAATTCTAGAGATGATGTGAAAGATACTGCAGTTTTAGATCAGTTAAGACACATGATCTAGCCAGGTGCCCGTGTCTCACCCAAAATCCTAAATACTTGGGAAGCTTAGATCTGAGGATGGTGATTTTAAGCCAGTCTAGGCAGAAGAGGCCATGAAACTCTTATATCCAATTAACAAAAACACTAAAAGTGGAGCTGTGGCCCAAAGTGGTAGAGGGCTAGCTCAGGGAAAGTGGCCAGGCCCTGAGTTCAAGCGGCATGACCAACTAAAATAATTTTTTTTTCTAAAAGGCACAAAATCTGATTTACATTTTAGAAAATTCACCCTGGGGGACTGGGAAGGTGGCTCAGTAGTAGAGTGCTTGCCTTGCATGCATGAGGCCCTGGGTTTGATTCCTCAGCACCACATAAATAGAAAAAGCTGGAAGTAGCGCTGTGGCTAAAGTGGTAGAGCACTACTATTGAGCTGAAGAGCTGAGGGATAGCACCCAGGCCCAGAGTTCAAACCCCATGACCAACAAAAAAAATTCACTCTGGCTTTTGGTGGAGAAAGGTGAGGGAGTAAAGGAGTACAGATAGAATCAGAGAACAAGCAGAGAAGTTATGGCAATGATACATCCAAGTGAAGCTGATGCTCAGACAGGTGGCCATGGGACTGGGGTTTGGGGATTGAATACATCCATACCCATATAGGTTTGATTTTATTGTTATTGATCCATGATAATGGTACATTTGTAGAGTACAGTGTGATGTCTTAGTGCATGGGTACATTACGTAATGATCAAATCAGAATATTTTGGGCTGAGAATGTGGCTTAGTGGTAGAGTGCTTACCTAGCATGCATGAAGCCCTGGGCTCAATTCCTCAGTACCACATACACAGAAAAAGCCAGAAATGATGCTATAGCTCAAGTGGTAGAGTGCTAGCCTTGAGCCAAAGCAGCTCAGGGACGGTGCCAAGGCCCTGAGTTCAAGCCCCAGGACTGCCCCTCCACCAAAAAAGAAAAGAATATTTTATATGTCTGTCACCTCAAGCATGTCTTTGGTTCTTTGGAGGCAAGGATTTAAAATCCTCTCTCTTAGTAACATGGAAATACATAATGCAGTATTGTGAAGTATTGTCACTTTACCATGCAACAGGACACTTGAATTTACTTCTCCTAGCTAACAATAATTTTTTGGGGGGTCCGGTCGTGGGGCCTGAACTCTGGGCCTGAGCGCTGTCCCTCAGCTTTTCAGCTCAAGGCTAGCACTCTACCACTTGAGCCACAGAGCCACTTCCGGCTTTTTTCTTTTTGCTTATGTGGTGCTGAGGAATCGAACCCAGGGCCCCAGGCATGCAAGGCAAGCGCTCTACCACTGAGCCACCTGCCCAGCCCCTAACAATAATTTTGTATCTTTTAATCTTTCTCTCGTTCTCTACCCCAGCCTCTGGTAACACCACTATTCTACTCTCTGCCTCCATGAGATCAACTTTTAATTTTTAGATTCCACAAACGAATGACATCATGTGGTCCTCATCTTTTGCTGCCTGTCTTTATTTCACTTCGCATGATGCCCTCCAGGTTTATCCATGTTGCTACAAATCACAGGATTTCACATTTTTATGGATGAATAGTATTCCATTGTGTGTGTGTGTGTGTGTGTGTGTGTGTATACCACAGTTTCTTTATCCATCTATGCTCTGATAGACACTTTGACTAATTCTATATCTTGGCTATCATGAATAGTGCTACACTGAACATATGAATACTGTACAAGTGTCTCTGACATGTTGGTTTTATCGTCTAGATAGGTTTTGAAGGGGATGTCATGAAGAAGTGAAGGTGGGTAAGGGTGCAGTGTTTCTAGAACGAATTTCAAGTCACTGTCTTGAGCAGATATAGGTAATAGCACCATTACTGAGTTGGAAGATTGATGGAAGAGCCGACTGGGAAAGGCAAAGGAATGGAAGACCAAATCTTTGTTTTGGACATGGTAGGACTGAGATCTCTGGACATGTAATTAGTGAAGGGTTGAAGAAACAGATATGTAAGTTTAGGGATCACGAGATCAGAAAAATCAGAATTGGGAGATCAATCAGGGACCATTGACTATAACTGATTAAACCCTTAAACTGGTTTTGATCAACTAGGAAACAAGTAACTAGAAATCCAAGGACTGAGCCAGGGCTGAAAGACAAAAAGAAGAAAGAGAATGAAATAGGAGAGGTAAAGAAGGGGCAGCCTGTGAGCCAAAGGAATCCCCCAGGAGCAGGTAGACAGAGTGTGCCAAGGACAGAGCTGAGCAGGGTGGGGGTGGAGGCACTGAGGAGTGAAGATTCCATCATGGCCTTGTTGTTGAAAAGCAGCACCCTTGTGCTTGGGCTGTGTTGTGTCAACACGACACCCTGCAGATCTGTGTACTGGTGCAACATTTCTATTTTGTGGAAAGACATAGGCCTTTGAGGCTGTTTACTTGAGCTTTTCCGGCCCCCAGCATTTCTGAGCCTTCAGAAGACCCCCTACGCCACTGTGCTCAGTTTCCACCCTGTCCAACCTCCTCAACCCTGTGGACCCCTCCTCAGTAGTGAGTTGGAGAGCCATACAGAAAGTTCCAGAAGGGCAGGGACTCTGTTGGGTCCATCAGTAAATTCATTCTCCAGAGCACCCGTCCATTCTTCTTGGGCCCCTGGGACGGGAATGGACCCAGTGAGAACCTAATTTCATACCAAAACAGCACAGCCTTTGATGAACCAGGGTGCCCCTGGGACCCTGCTTGGCTCACAGACAGCCGGAGAGCTGTGTGCCAACTAGACCTGCTCCAGGAAGAGTGCACCCAAGCTCTGGAAGGGAAGTCCCAAGGGGACCAGCTTCTCAGCACTCAAAGGCCAAAGCTGCCTGGACTCTGACCCAGGCCCAGCTTCTCTGGAGCCTCTGTGGGTTATTGGAAAGTGGTATATCTCAGAAGCCATGGTATGGGTCTTTGGGCCTCTTCTCCAGCCTAAGTGATCTCCACAGGGCCTAGGTGTGCCCCTCAGATACTATGTTCTTACAGACAGACCCCCCCAACACATGTGTACATGTGAATCTATATACTCACACAGAAGTTTACTGGTATACCCCAATGTGGGCACACGATCATATACATGTATGCATCACATTACACAATCACATACTAATAGCAAGCACATACTCACAACAAACACACTCACATAAAATACATATAGATGCACTACACAGGTATGTACCCTAACACCCCACATGCACACCACACAGTGGAATACAATGATGCGCAATCACAGGTGCACAGATACATCTGTCCCTACAACCACAATGATACATAAACACACACACACACACACACACACACACACACACAAACACACTCAAATACTTGAAATAATGGGCCACAATGATACCCCAGAGACACACTGAAGCACATCTTTGAACAGCACACACCCTGACCCACACACTCACACCCGACCTAACAAACCCCAAGGGTCTCCAAGCTCTTTTAGGGCTGTCGTCTAACCCAGTTCCACCCCCCAGGGGGAGATGGTGTCTCTGAAGGAACAGAGATCCCCCATTGCATCTTAAGCTCTGCTGGATCCTGGGTGACATCAGCCAGCCCACTTGCTGCTGTTGCTGCTGCTGCCGCCGCTGCCACCAGAAGCTCTGAGCTCTGTGCTGAGGGCACCAGGCACTAACACTTCGCCCTTGTTGGGAGAACAGAGAGAGGCTCTTGTCCGCTGCCTGTGCTGGGCAACAACTGCTGCTTCTCCTAGAGGCCTCTCCTCGGGGCTGCACAGGTACGTGGGACCAAGGAAGCCAGGGGACCTGGCACTGGGGCCAGCTCGGAGAGGGGAGGGAGGGTGTTACAGGTAATGCAGGATCCAGCCTTGATTCCCCTCCAAACCAACCTCCTCTGCCTCAGCACTGCGGGCTCCTTCCCCTGTAGTGAGTTGTATAGTCAGCCACACAGAAAGTTCTAGAAGGACGTGTGGCTATGTTGGACCTAGCTACTTCCCAGAACATGTATTCACCCCTTCCTGGGCCCCTGGGGACTGGAAAAGACCCAGTGAGAATCTAGGAGGCTTAGATGAAGCCACACAGTGCTCCTGCAGATCACTGTGTTGGGGTTGGGCAGAGCTGGGCCTCTCAGATCAGCCTAGCTGGAGGTTTTTGTTCTTTCCTTTGGTCTCTTTCTTGGCCTCCCATAAGGTCATACATAGGGTAAGTGACTCCCTGTCAAGAGGATGGTCTCTTCTCAGAGAGCCAGGCTCACAGCAGACCACAGTGGCGTCTTGAGATGCACATTTTCCCTCAGCCCTCATGGGAGGTGCAGGGGCTTGTGTGGTCCTGAGCTCCCTGAGCCACGGCCTGGAGCTTCTAGCTGCTTCTATGAGGGCAGACACTGTACTGCTGGTTTGAATAGACCAGCTGGCCACCCCTCCACTGCCTGACTCAGATAGACACTGGCTAGTGTTGGGGCTTTCCTGGCTCTGGTCCAAAGGCCCCCAGGCCAGCTACTGTTCCTCTAGCACTGAGTAGAAGCCCTGTGGGGAAGAGACCAGCGCAGAATCTAGCCTAGCACTGTCCACAAAAGCACAGGACTGCCAGCAAGCCTGTGTGGTTGGTTAGGAGACTCAGCTTGTCCCTTGCAAACTATGGGGCTCTAGAAAGTGCTTTTTTTTTTGGTGCTGGTGGTGGTACTGGGTTTTACAAGTAACCACTTGTAAAATCACTTAAGTAATCACTTAAGCCACACTCCCAGCCCATACCCTTTTATGTTTATTTTTGATAGAGTCTTAAGTTTTTGCCTAGGGGCCAGCCGCAGACTGAAATCTTCTCATCTTCTCATCCTCCAGCTCCCTCCTAGCTGGGACCACAGATACACATCACCAAGTCCCAGCTCATTTTTGAAATAGGGACCCACTGATGTTTGTGTCCAGGCTAGCCTCAAACCACAATCTTCCTATCTCCACCTCTCAAGTAGCTGGGATTATAGATGTGGGTCCCTGTGCCCAGCCTAAAAAATATTTTTCTAATACTGAATATAGCGGCACATGCATACAATCCCAGCAACTGGCAAGTTGAGGCAGTGGACTCCTGGCTGGCTTTGAGTATATTGTGAGATCCTGTCTTAAAAAGAAATGTAGAGAGAGACAGAGGACAGGGGAGGAAGGAAGAAGGAAAGGAAATAAGGGAGGGAGAGAAAGAAAGACCTTTTCCAAGCCTCAGGCCTTCAGTGGGGGAAAGGTTCACACTTTTGGCCTATAAGAAGCCTTCCTGCGCTGAAGGAAGGATACCTTCTGGTATCCATCCTTGAAGCACTAGGCTGAGGCTTTCTCCTCTCTGTGCCTATCCAATCACAGCTGCAGAATGGCTTCCAGCCCAGCCAGGATCTCTAGCCCCCAGGTGAGTGATTCTGTATTTCCTACTCTGCACTAAGTGGGAATCTGTGGAGAGACTGACTGATTCCATAGGCTATGCCAGACCAGGAGCAGGAGCAGGTGAGATGGTGAATGGACAGATGGAAGAGGGTGGGGTCAGTGGGTGGGTAGAAGAGTGGAAAGAAAGGAAAGAAAAAGGGAGGCAGGTAGCTCATAAGAGATGTTGAAGGGACCTGAAACAAGGCCAGGGAGGGAGGGGGACCTGTTGCTCTTAATCACTTTTTTTTTTAATGTCTTCAGCCATCCAGGGCCAATGGGAACATCAACCTGGGGCCTTCAGCCAACCCAAAGTGAGTTCTGATCTCTCAAGCAACTTTCCTATCTGCCTGGTTAAGCCCCTCAGTCCTGGGATCTTCCCCTGGCTTCTTCTGCCACTGATTTCTGTGGCTTTTCCTGGTCTTCTGTCTGAATGCCCCTCTAATCAGCAGTATTAGCAGTTGCTGACTCTCAGGCTCTTCCTGAGGGATGAGAGACCAGATCCTGGTCTCTTGTCTGTGCCTTGTACATTTGGGCCTATTGTTGACTAGACAATAAACTAACTACCTGTGGGGGAGAAGGGCAATCTTAAAGTTCCTCTGGGCTGAGAGGACCTGACACCCTTAAGAGTAAGTCCTGGACACCTGGATGATGGCCCACTTCCAAAGTAAGAGAGAAGCCTGGATTTGCACTCACTCAGAGACAGAGCTCAGGTTTCTGGGTTTGCAAATACTGATTCATGCATGCTCTTCCATCATCTTCCAGTGCCCGGCCCACAGATTTTGACTTCCTCAAAGTCATTGGCAAAGGGAACTATGGGAAGGTAAGTAAACAGATCAGAGGCCTGAGCCTCCCTTCTCCAGTCTCTTTTACCCAGTGCACCCAGCGCACAGTGGGTGGGCTGGAGGTCCTCTCCTGCCATCAGAAAATCCACAGTTACCCATGGGACCTTGCATCTGTGCTTTTGCTCAGGTCCTACTGGCCAAGCGCAAGTCTGACGGGATGTTCTATGCAGTGAAAGTTCTGCAGAAAAAGTCCATCTTAAAGAACAAAGAGGTACTAGAGCTCAAAGCAGACATTATCTTGCTGTTTCTTCACTGCCACCCTAGCATGGCTTCCTTTCCCAAATGCACCACCACCACATCACACACATACCCCTCCAACACACACACACACAGACACCTCCAAGAGTCCATGAGGTTGGGTGCAGAGGTAATCCCAACAGGACATGAACTCTTCTCAAGGAAGCTAGGTCAGAATGCCTCACTCGGGAGCCTTCAGGAAGACCAGCAGGGCTCCTGCCCTCCCATAATATGGAAACGGTGATGGACATGCTGTCTTCATTGCAATGTGAGGGTCATACTTCACATTCTGCCCTTTCAAGCCATTCCATTCTAGTGCTTCAACTGACAAGTCTCTTCCATTTGAAGGGTGGGGAGAGAAAGGGGGCAGGATTATCTGTCAAGTCAGGATTTGGCTGAGTGGTTTGTGCTAACAAGGACATCATAGGGGCAAGAGGTAACCTTGCAGTTGGTCTTGGCAAAGAGAGTAAACTTCCAGACTGGGTATAGGACATGAGCAAAGGTGTGAAGATGGGTAGTACCTGGCTTTTTTAATCCTGTTTCCTACAGATTTTTCTTGTGACTCATTTCTATAGTCTTGTGCATGCTTTTCTCTTTACTCTGGTCACAGGGATTCTGATCTAGGGGCTAGAGTTACACTCAAGGAGTCTGACGCTGAGGAAAATAGCCATTGTGAGTGAGCAGGGGCATGAGAAAGTCTTGGGCAGGACAATCCCCATTGATGAGGCCACTGCAGACAACGCGGGGTATGAAAGCCCTGTCTGTGTTGACTCCACAGCAGAGCCACATCATGGCTGAGCGCAATGTGCTGCTGAAGAATGTGCGACACCCCTTCCTCGTGGGCCTGCGCTACTCCTTCCAGACCCCAGAGAAGCTCTACTTTGTGCTTGACTATGTCAATGGGGGAGAGGTGAGTGGAACTGCAAAGGACCGCATAAGCCAGCTGCTAGCTGGGAGCGGTCCATCTGCCTGCCGCTGTGCACCAAGCGCTGGGAGCAGCTCCCTGCATCTTGACAACAGACCCCCCCCATTTGGTAGCTGAAGAAACTGAGTCTCAGGGAGGTGAGTCACTTCTCAGGGCCACCCAGTCCAGGATTTGAATACAAGCCTGCTGGCTTCACATCATGATGTTTTTTGTTTTGTTTTTTTTTTCTCTCACCCAAACCCATCCAGACTCACCTTGAGAGACCTGGGAAAGGTGAATCCTAAGAGGAGCTCTGTAGACACAATTTCCCATGTTCCCAGTTAACATGTCATGCCATAGGGTAGAAGTTGCCTGTCACTATTGTAAACAGAGACCTGAGCTACCTAGTGACCCAGAAGCGGAGCTGGGATCAGCTGGGTTCCCTCTTGGACTTTACTCTGTGTCACAAGATGAGATGACAGAATTTAGTTGGATTCCTCAATGACCCCAGATTTGACCTATGTGACTGAATGCCTTTATGTCTGATGCCAAGAGGTGAAGTTTTGTCCTGAACCCCTAAGAGAAGGATTTTGCACACCAAGAAATAGACCAAGAAGCCGGACACTGGTGGCTCATACCTGTAATCCTAGCTATCAGGAGGCTGAGGTGGGAGGATCACAGTTTGAAGCCAGCACAGGCGGGAAAGTCTGTGAGACTTATCTCCAATTAACCATCAGAAAACTAGAAATGGAGCTGTGACTCAAACTGGTAGAGCACTAGCCTTGAGCAAAAAGATAGTGCTCAGGCCCTGAGTTCAAGTCCCATGACTGATGAGAAGAGAGAAGGGAAGGGAAGGGAAAGAAGGGGAAGGGAAGGGAAAGAAGGGGAAGGGAAGGGAGAGGGAGGGGAGGGGAGGAGAGAGGAGGGGAGAGGAGAGAAGGGAATAGGGGAGGGAAGAGAAGAGACCAAGAGCTTGGCCCGTGGGGAGATCTAACTTGGACTAGTGTAACAAACTTCAGCTATGATTCAAGCCATTAATCCCAGCTCCTTGAAAAGTAGAGACCAGAAGGATCATGGTTCAAGGACAGTCAGGGAAAACACTGATGAGATCCCATTACAACAAAAAAGCTGCGTGTGCTGGCTTTTGCTTGTCACCCCAGCTAAGTAAGAGGTGTAAATAGAAGACTCAGTCCAGGCTAACCCAGACAAAAAGATGAGATGTTATTTACAAAAGGGGCTGAGGACATGGCTTAGGTGGTAGGGCATGTGTCTAGCAAGCATAAGACTCTGAGTTCAAACCCAGCTGTGCCAGCTTCAAGTTACATGTGCTTAGACAAGTCATCTAGCTGTCCCACCCTCTATCCCTTACATGAAATTAGAACCATGTTGAAATCTTGAAGGTTGTCCTGAGGAATAAGTAATGTGGTGCAAGGCATGACTCGGAAGCTGGAACACTGAACAGGCTTTATCAGTGCTAACCAGTCTCCCCTCTTGCTGACTTCGGATATGGTGAATGGGCAATGGAACCAGTGTGCCCTCTTTTGCTATGAATACCCTGCGGTTGAGGTTGGGATGACCGAGCCATGAACCAAGTGAGGATCCTGTGGGCTCCTGGCCTATGCTAGGAGCTGGAAGCCAGCAACCTCTCTCACTGCCTTCTCCCCCAGCTCTTCTTCCACCTGCAGCGGGAGCGCAGGTTCCTGGAGCCCCGTGCCCGTTTCTATGCCGCTGAGGTGGCCAGTGCCATCGGCTACCTGCACTCCCTCAACATCATTTACAGGTGAGGCCCCCAGCTTAGGCCTGGAACAAGGCCCTTCTTGCTCCAACAACCGGGCTTTGTATGAGCCATGAAATCCTGGTGACCTTGGGTCTTCGTCCCAGTGATGTGATAAGACTGGAATGCCCTCCTTCCTAAAGTCCCTCTGCACTTTGGGGCTCCTATGAATAGTCCTTCCACCAGGGTCTGGGTCTCCAACCCCCCCAGCCCCCTCCCTATCACTAAGAGGCCATGACACTGGTAGGATGTCTTCTCTTATTTTCTGCAGGGACCTGAAACCAGAGAACATTCTCTTGGACTGCCAGGTTGGTGAGGGTGTGGGTGACCATGAGTCTGTGTGCACAAGCATGCATGTATTTTGCATGCTGCACACTAGTAGGACATTATATGTACAGGAGACTGTACATACTCATAGATGTGTGTACATATGTGTATATGCAAGGTTTGTGTGGAGTGGGGGTGGAGCTGGTGAGGGTTAGTAGATTTTGTTATTCTTCCATATCTTGGCCCAGGTTCCCTGGAAGCAGATACTGAGGTGGGCAGGTGTGTGCAGGTCTATCAGGGAACACTCTGGAAAGATATTGCTTTAGGAAGTGGGGGTGGGGAAGACAGGGATGGGCAGAAGAAGGGTTTCACCCACACTGTGGTTGCAAAGGTGGCCTCAGCTGATCTCACAGGGTTAATATCTGAGCTGGATAGCTCTTTTGCCAAAAGAGCCCTTGTCCCAAATTAAAGCAAGGAAGCTGGGCCTCTTGGCCCCTATTCTGCCCAGTTATTGTGTATTGATTGCCCCTAAGGAGGGACTTAACTTTGACCAAGGGATTTTCCAGTTATGGAGACCCTAGCAGAGGAGCCTGAGCAGATCCCTGTGATATTCATATCTTCTAGCTGCTACAGATGTGGTCACTTTCTGAGTCTCTAGCCCTCTGTCAAAGAGCATTGTAGCCCAGTAGGGACATCCTGGAATTGCTACTATTGTTGACATTGGTCAGAGTCTGTGATGAGCTGTGGAGGACTATGAGATGTCAAGTCCCTACCCTGTGCCTGCCCTGTAGAGCCTGTGATGACACCTAGTCTCTTAGCCCTGGATCTGTGTGGAGCCTGGAGCCTGTATTTGTGCATCAGCCCCACAGCCAGGACTCTGGGCTTTGGATTAGGCCAGCCACACCCTCTGTTGTTTCTCTCCTCAGGGACATGTGGTACTGACAGACTTTGGACTTTGCAAGGAAGGTGTAGAGCCTGAGGAGACCACGTCCACCTTCTGTGGCACCCCTGAGGTAAACGTACACTCCTAGGAGAGGCAGGCTGGAAATAGATGGCTCCTGAACAGAGACAGCCATCAAGTTACCGCAGAGAGCCTCTCTCCATTCACCCAAGCACTTCCCAGAGCCAGCTGTGGACCAAGCCTTGGCTTTCACATCTGGATTAATGGCATCAGCTCTCAGGGTAGCTGGGACCTGGCCAGCTATGATGAATCTCTGTAGCACTGCTTCCCAATGGAAATAGATACAGATGTATGTATACCATTTCAACTTTTCCAGCAGCTACATTGAAAAGGAAAAAGAAATTGAACAGGTCTGTAATCCCTCTACTTAGGAGACTGAGGCAGAAGGATCAAAACTTTGAGGCCAGCCTGAGGCCAGGGAGCAAAACCCCATCTCAGAAAAGCAAACAGAAAAAACAAACAAACAAAGTGAAAACACACAGGCAGGGGGTGGGGTGGAGGGAGGAGGTTAGTGATAGAACATTTGCCTAGCATGTGTGAAAGCCCTGGGTCCCATCCTTCAAACCAGCAAAAGTTAGCTGATTAATTAATTAATTTAAAAATGCAAACAGGTAAAATTAATATACCATCAAAATAATATTGTTGAAATCATTGTTTTTCTGAAGCTTTGGAGTCCAGCATGTATTTTTTTTAAGTCACAGCCCATCTTAATTTGGTTCAATCACACTTCACATGTTTAGTAGCCACACATAGCCAATGGCCGCTGTACTGATGACACTGGGGAAGGAGGGCCTGGCCTGAGGGTTCAGAGCAGGGCCTGCAAGTGTTAAACACAGGTTTGCGTCCCTCTTCCAACCACCAAGAGCCTGCAAGGTTAAAGTTGTTCATCTCAGGAATTCCACATATCTATCTGTCCTTCCAACACAGCTGCCCATAGCCCTAAGGTTATAATCTTATCTTGAGCCAAGTATGGTAGGCATGCTGGTAATACTAGCATTTTGAGAGGATTGAGTCCAGACTAGCCTGGGCCACATAGCTAGAGAGAGAGAAAGAATGACTGAGAGATGGGGGGGGGAGGGAGGGAGAGAAGAAGGGAGGAAGAAAAATCTTTTCTTGAACTCCTGCCTACCTGCCTACCAGTCTTGGACCTTGGGCCTGAAGGGGACCCCTGTGGCTCATACAGATACCATGGTAGGGGTAGAGAGCTGAGGCTTCAGTGCAGAACAGCTTCATTCTATGGGGGCCTGCGGTGAAACTTAAACTGGTGTATTCACCACATGCTAAACAACTGGGTTGGGCTTGGTATCTAAGTTAGACTCCTCCATCTAGTGCCTGGTAGCCCCTGGATAGGTGACTTTACTGAGCAGCAGCCATTGTCTCTGTGTGTGTGTGTGTGTGTGTAAAACACTTGGTAAAGAAGTCCTTAAGCATGTCATCCATGCCATCCCTTCCCTGGATGCTGCCTCCATGGGAACAGGGGAGATGGACCCCTGGCTCGTATGGAGATGCATGGCCCCAACAACTTCTTTCTTCAATGATTCTGCCCCTGCTGCAAGCCAGGGAGCACCAACAAGAGTAATCACAAAGCTCGCTCTCATTGTTGGAGGTCTGGGCACATCCTTATCCCAGCCCAGTTAAATTTCTGGAGCTCCACTTCATGGAAGAGGAGACCAAGGTTCTAGGAGGTTAAATAACCTGCCTGAATCACACACCAACAGGTACTCAGGTCTGTGTGAATTCCTGGCAGAGATCCCAGGCTGAAAGTCACCAAGCCCTTGGCTTTGGTAGAAAGCACAGCTCTTCTGCAAATTCTCTCCCAAGGTGTGCATGAACTCCTCTAGCAAGGTGATGTCCCTTCTCTCCTCTGTCCTATATTCCTATTTCTTAGATTTCTCATGTACTGTGCAGAATTTCCCAGGGTTTTCCTATTCCCAAGACACTGATAGCCTATTAGATACCCATGTGCAAATTAGAAAGCAGACTTAATTAAAAAGGCATCCCTTTACACTTGATGCCAGTGGCTCAAGCCTGTCATAGCTACTCAGGAGGCTGAGATCTGAGGATGGTGGTTCAAAGCCAATTTGGGCAGGAAAGTCTGTGAGATTTTTTATTTCCAACTAACCACCAAAAAAGCCAGAAGTGGAATTGTGACTCAAGTTGTAGAACACTAGCCTTGGGAAAAGTAAGCTAAGGGATAGCTCCCAGGCCCTGTGTTCAAGCCCCAATACACTCTGTCTCTCTGTCTCTCTTTTTCTTTCACACACACACACACAATTTTTTTTTTTGGTCCGGACGTGGGGCCTGAACTCTGGGCCTGGGCGCTGTCCCTCAGCTCTTCAGCTCAAGGCTAGCGCTCTACCACTTGAGCCACAGCGCCACTTCTGGCTTTTTTTTTCTTTTTGCTTATGTGGTGCTGAGGAATCAAACCCAGGGCTTCAGGCATGCAAGGCAAGTGCTCTACCACTGAGCCACCTTCCCAGCCATATACACACAATTTTTAAAATTTTATTTTATTGTCAAGGTGATGTACAAAGGGGTTATAGTAAGCTAGTGAGTACATTTCTTGTCAAACTCATTACCCCCTCCCTCATTTTTCTCCCACTCTCCTACCCCCCAATCCTCCCCGCCACACACACAATTTTTTAAAGATACTCTTTTAAACCATTATAAAGTTGCCAGATATACTACTGAACTGAGGTTGGAACTTGGGGAGAGGGATGACAGCTCCTCTTAATCCTGTGGCTGGTAAAACTTCTGTAGAGTTCCTGGCATGTAAACTGTACAGGGCAGTTCTGGCTATCTCCTTTATGTCCCTGCAGAAATCACAGCAGGACCACAGCTTGATCTCTTTCAAGTGTTGTCTTTGCAGATGTAGGCTGGGGTCTGCTGAAATAGTGTGTTTCTCTCATAGTACCTGGCTCCTGAGGTGCTTCGTAAAGAACCTTATGACCGGGCTGTAGATTGGTGGTGTTTGGGAGCTGTCCTCTATGAGATGCTGCATGGCTTGGTGAGTGCTACTGGAGAGAAAGCTGGGAGAGCTGAGCTTAGCTGAGAGTGGTCTCCCCTCTGCGTGGCTTCCTCTAGCCCTACACAGGGAACTAAATGAACCACCTCTCTACCCCACATGAGAAAAGATGATGCCAAACTGTTATAAATATGTTCTCCAAGAACCACTGGAGTCACAACCATAGACATAAAAATAGTTGTCTCCACAATGCAAAATGTACTTCTGCAGAAGTTAAAAAATCTGGAAAGCAAGCCCAGGAGCAGGCAGGCCACTCCCTAATACAGCAGGCCTCCCTCCTTTGGTTGAGCTCAGGTTCATGTTTTGCTCGTGATTGGCTAGTTGGAATAGGGTAAAATGTGTTTACATGAAGTGACTTTGAAATAAGATGAACAGTTCACAAGTAATCTCAAAGTAGGCCCATACCCTCTGCTATTTCTTGAACAATCTGAAGCGTGTCTTAAGTTTATCTTGAAAAAAAAAAAACACTTTCAGACCAAATCTTACCTTTCAAAAGTCCTTCTTCATCACAAAGCGGTTGTCTTTTCCTTAACAAGAACCAAGTCACCATTTATACAGTTTCCTTTAATTATGTCTATTTCTTTATATTCATCAACGTAGAGACAAGTCCTACCTATTGCCCTACCCCAAATTAACCCTCTGCAAATTCAGGTTCGTATTTCTAACTCCATAGGCTATTTTTGACACAGATCCAAACCCTCTAAGTCAATGTTTACCTTCCATCCCTGATCATCTTTCCTTTTCCTGCTTACCCAGACCAATTGTTTGTAACTACGGTTTCTATGTTTTTGTGAGCTTTAGTGTCGGATGTACCCAGAACAAAGCTGTGGAGATGGGTACTTATTTGTGTAGGCAGCTACCGGGAGCAGAGCCATAGGGCATGATGAGGACAGGGTTTGTGGCTGAGCTCCATGTCAGACCACCACAACTCTTGTCACATTTGCATCAGCTTGGCAAGCAACCCACCTCTAACATCCTCATAAATCTCCAGTGGTGCAGGATAATGTGCATGCTTTAACTTTGTCAGTCCAGTGGTGTAGTGTGGGACTCCCAACAGCACATTTATAGAGCTGGAGTTCCCGGAAAAGCTAAAGGTTGTGAGCCGGGACCCATGTCTCAGGGCAGGCAGGATGACAGTGAGTTGAAGGTACATGATCACACATTCCTCTAGGCTCAGGCCCTGGAGGGCGCTTTGAGAGTCTCAGAACTGAAGTCCATCAGACAGAGCAAAGCAGAAACTTTTTTTCTTTTTTGTCAGTCATGGGGCTTGAACGCTGGGCTTGTGTGCTCTTCAGCTCAAGCCAAGTGCTCTACCACTTGAGCCACAGCACCACTTCCAGTTTTCTGGTGGTTTATTGGAGATGAGAGTCTCACGGACTGCAATCCTTAGATCTCAGCCTCCTGAGTAGCTAGGATTGCAGGCATGAGCCACCAGCGTCCGGCCAAAGCAGAAACTTTTAAGCAACATACTTTGATAGAAAAAGACAGTGTTTCTCATAAAAGGGAAACCAATGGTTATACGATTATATCTTTTTCTTCTTTTCTTTCTTCTCATATCTTTTCTTTTCTTTTTTTTTTAAGATGGTATTGAGCCAAGATATAAGACACAGTCTGGTTAAATCTTCCCTGCTACTCAGTTTGCTCCTTGAGACCCTCATTCCTTATTTGCGTGAGTAATCCTCCAGCTTTGCTCCTTGTCTTCCCAGCCACCCTTCTTCAGCCAAGACGTGGCTCAGATGTATGAGAACATTCTGCACCAGCCACTGCAGATCCCCGGGGGGCGGACAGTGGCTGCCTGTGACCTCCTGCATGGCCTTCTCCACAAGGACCAGAGACAGCGGCTGGGCTCCAAGGCAGACTTTGTGAGTGGCCTGCAGCAGAGCCCTGGCCCCTGGAGGACTCTCAACTTCCTGAAGAAAGATAAGCCTATCAGTGTGCTTTCTGCTGCCCTCTAAAAGCAAGAGCTGCTAACACAGTCTTCTGGGAAGTTCTTAGTCCTGGAAGCAGACTACTTTCTTTAGTCTCCTTATTTCAGTTAAGCGATATATGCTGAGCACCAACTGTGTGTCAGCATTGAGCTGAGTGCTATGGTTTTAATGGGCTTGATCTCTGCCTTTATTAAAGAAGATGACAAAACATAGATTATATACAGTTACCACACAGGGTGATGAATGTCAGAAGGAAAGGACAATAGTGGGAGGGGGATCACATTTTGGCATGGTCCAGGTAGACCCTCTCTGAGGAGTGACAGTTATGTTGATATTGGAGAGTTGTCAGGTGTTTTGAGCAGGGGAATAGCATGACCAGATTTAAGTTTTTAGAAGCTTCCTGTGCCTAAGTTTGAATTGGACTCTTTTTACAAATAGGTGAGCACTTTACCTTGCCAGACCCCAACCTGGGCACTTAGGATATAAAGATAAATAATTCACAGTCTGTCCCCGTAATGAGTTAAATTTTTTAAAATTAAAGTATCATTAAAAAAAAATAACCCTGGCAGCCAGGCATGCACCAGTGGCTCACATTGTGATCCTAGCTACTCAGGAGGCTGAGATCTGAGGATCCCAATTTAAAGCCAGCTGGGGACAGAAGATCCAAATGACTCTAATTTCCAATTAACTAGTAAAATATCAAAGGTGTGGCTCAAGTGGTAAGACCACAAGCTTAGTGAAAAAGCCAATTGACATCAGGGGACACACACAGAGACACAGACACACAGACACACAGACACAGACACACACACACACACACACCAGTACTCAGGAACTTGAACTCAGGAAGACTGAGTTCAAGTTCAGCCTGGACAACATTGAGATCCTATGTCAATTTATTTTAAATTATACATCAAAATAATCTGGTTCTTTAACATAAGATCATTTGATTTTACATAAAGAAGGCTGCAGTACAGATGCCCCTTAGTAACTGGGAATTGGCTTGAGGGATGCCCTCAGGATAACAAAACTTGCTAGCTCAAGAGGCTGAAATCTGAGGATCACAGTTCAAAGCCAGCCCAGCCACGAAAGTCCGTTAGACTTTTATCTCCAATTAACCATCAGAAAACCAGAAGTGGTGCTATGGCATTTGCCTTGAGCTGAAGAGCTGAGGGACAGTGCCCAGGCCTAGAGTTTAAGCCCCACACCTACAAAAAAGAAAAAAGAAAAGAAAAGATAACAAACCTTTGCAAGCACACAGTAAGGGCTTTGTAGGCATGTTTCCAAAAGCCCAGCGTGCCAGATAGTGAGAGATATAATGGCATTTAAGGTACTGGTCCAATCCTTCCCTAATCAGCTTACAAAACAAGAGCTTCTAGAAAGCTCCTTAAGGGAGGTGTGTAACTTGCAAGATAAGCTGTGTATGCATGCAGACCTAATTCAAAGGGTGCAAATGGTACTCAAGTTCCTCTCTTCCTTCTCCTCCAGTTCTCAGCTTAGCAGTAACAGGAATTAGCAGTTTCTTTGGTGTTCTGCAGCTATTTGGGACCTGGCTTTTTAAGTAGCCGCGTGGGCAGTTCTGATGTAGGGAATGAGAGCACTATCCTGTAAGAAACATCCTGTAGAGGTACAGTCCTACTGGGAAGGAAGGAGGTTGGTGCCAGAGTTGGTATTGATTAGGAAAGATTAGGAAAGAAGAGCTCAAATTCCTGGGAATGTACAACTTTTCTTGGAGGTTTGTTTCGGAACTTTCCTGTTGCTTCTTTGGTCTATTTTGTCTGGATTGAATTCTGGAAGACTCAATATGTCCTGATGTGGAGTGGGAGGGCAGGTTCCCCAAGTTCTTCCCTGTCCATCCCCCTCCCCCAGCCTGTTGACTCCCTCCTTCACTGACCTTCCTCCAGAACCCTAGCAAAGTATGGTCTCTATTCAGTAAGCCGATGCTACGGGAAAGGTTGGGGTTCTGGATGATGTGGGAAGTGGGAGGCCTATCTACAGAGCTTTCTCTTGGCCCAGGAAACCAGCCAGAACTGCAAGGGACTGTCTCCTCTGACCACCTGCTGGTATAATTGGGGCCTTGAAGGATCTGGGAAGTGGGGAGGCAGGAACCCCCATGGCTACTTCTGATCAGTGCCTTCTTCCTGTAGCTGGAGATAAAGAACCATGTGTTCTTCAGTCCCATCAACTGGGAGGATTTGTACCACAAGAGACTGACTCCACCCTTCAACCCGAATGTGGTAAGAGGTCTCAGCACTCCAGATTTGGGATTCCTAGGGCTGGTGAAAGCTTGGAGGGTATCCGGGCCAACTCTCTTTGTACAAGTAGGGACACAGGGGGCCCAAGGGACACAAACTGAGTTAGTGGTAGAACAGTTGCCTCCTCCCTCACCCCACCCAGGTCTGCAGTGATGAGCCAGGCTACCATTCCAGTATCTTTAGAATGGTAACTAACCCTCCTAATAGAGTCTTTAGGTTTTAAAGTGCTCTGTGTCTCCTAGTACACCCAGGCAGAGCCACATCCTAATGACATATTCAGACTTTTTCCTGATGATAAAGTTAACCTGTATTCCTTGCAGGAAGTGTGTAAAAACAGAAGTGTAAACAGAAGTTTATACGCTTTGTATCTCACTACCCAAGGGAAATCAATATTGGCATACTTCTGGAACTTTTTATGTGTGTATGTGTGTATCTCTACAACTTTGTCCTCTAGTATCTATGGGATAATAAAGTTCCTTATATAAAAAGGCCTAGAATTTGCATATGACCTACATGTACCATATACTGTAAACTATCTTTAGATGATGTATAATACCTAGCACAATGTAAATATTATGCACATAATTATTACACTCTATTGTTTAGGGAATGACAATAAAGTTTGTACATGTTTGGTACAGTTAAAAAATTTTTTTTGACATTCATGGGCCTGAACTCTGGGCCTGGGCACTGTCCCTCAGCTCTTCAGCTGAAGGCTAGCACTCTACCACTTGAGCCACAGCGCCACATCTGGCTTTTTCTGCTTATATGGTGCTGAGAAACCGAACCCAGGGCCTCATGCATGCAAGGCAAGCACTCTACCACTGAGCCACCTTCCCAGACCCAAGTTAGGATTTTTTTTCCAGAACATTTTAAATTTGCAGTTGGTTGTACCTATAGCTTTAATGATCATGGAAGCGGAGCTCTGATCCTGTCCATATCTTTACTTATATCTATAGAACCTATATAATCTTTCCACTTTTGGCTTAAGAACTATTAAAATTTTCTATGACATATAAGGTTTTATATGTCATAGAAAACTTTAATAGTGGCTGTGCATTGTGTGTGTGTGTGTGTGTGAATGTGGCGGGGGAGGGGAGGGCCTTGAGCTCAGGGCCTCTAGCTCTTGCTTGGCTTTTTCACTCAAGGTTAATGATCTTGAAACTCATCCTTGGGCTGGGACCACTATACCCTGCAATTTCTGTGAGGACAAGCATGGCCTGTGTACTTCTTTAAAAAAAATTTTTTTTTGTCAGTCATGGGATTTGAACTCTGGGCCTAGCCGCTGTCCTGGAGCTCTTCAGCTCAAGGCAAGCACTCTACTACTTGAGACACAGTGCCACTTCCAGTTTTCTGGTTGTTAGTTGGAGATAAGAGGCTCATGGACTTTCCTGCCCAGGCTGGCTTTGAACTGTGATCCTCAGATCTCAGACTCCTGAGTAGCTACGATTACAGGTATGAGCCACCAGAGCCCGGCTTGGCCTGTGTACTTTTATAGTCCAAGACTTGTTATGTTAAGGCACATCTGTATAACAAGTCACCACAAAACCAGGAATCTTTGAACAGCCACCTTCATTTTGTTCAGGTTCCAAGGGTTAGCTTGGTGGCTTTTGTCAGTCTGGGCCAGGTGGCTAGCCACTCTCTGCAGTGCCTTCACATGTCTGTGGTCATAGTCGGGCAGCTGGCAGCTGATAATCTAGAATTGCCACACTCAGGTCTCCTTCCTGAGGCCTCTCATTCACCAGCAAGCCAGTCTGGGCTTGTTCACAGGGTTTGCTTCAAGATTCCAACTACATCAAAAGAACTAACTCCCAAAGTGCATTTTCCCAATCTCTGCTTGGGATCTCCTTTGACAGTGTCCCATTAGCTTAAGCAAGTCACTTGGCTAACCAATGTTATAAACATGGAGAAATGTACTCTTTGAGTGGTGGATGGAAAAGTTGTGATCATTTTTTGTAATCTCCTACCCAGGTCTTCCCTCTCTACCACCTTGTCTTGTCTTAATACCCTGAATTATGTACTTATATACCCATGCTTGTTATCAGTTCTCTTGTCCTCTGCATAATGTCAGCTCCTTGGAAGAGAAGCTTGCTCTGTTTTCCTCCTTTATCACCAATGCTGTGAACAGTGCCTGGAAAGCATTCAGGAAGTATATAATCACCTGACTTGTCCGAGGATTGAGGTGAAGCAGCCAAAGCATTAGAGCAATCAGCCATATGGAATGACATGATTCATGTAAATGCATGGAAACTTAAGAGTTCAGTCAGGATGAGCAGGGGGTACATGGAGCGGAGGCTAGGCATCCCTTCCAAAGCTCTGGATGTGTTAGTTCTGACTATAGTGATTTCTTCTTATTGTTGGCTTTTATGGACAGGCTGGACCTGCGGATTTGAAACACTTTGATCCCGAGTTCACCCAGGAAGCTGTGTCCAAGTCCATCGGCTGTACTCCTGACACTGTATCCAGCAGCTCTGGGGCCTCAAGTGCATTCCTGGGATTTTCCTATGCACCAGAGAATGATGACTTCTTGGACTAAGAGAAGCAGCTGTGAAGCCACTGAGGCCACTAGTAACAGAGGGGATTACCTTCAGCTCCTAGTCCGACACAAAGAGCTGGATGCTTAAACAAGAAATGGGTTTTTTTTTTTTTTGGCTATCCCAGGGACTTGAACTCTAGACCTTCGTGCTATCCTTGAGTTTCTTCAAAGGATAGTGCTCTACAACCGTAAGCTACAGAGCCACTTCTGGCCCTTTCTGAGTAGTTTGTTGTAGATAAGAATCTTATGGACTTTCCTGCCCAGGCTGGCTTGGAACTGCAATCCTCAGATCTCATCTTCCTGAGTAGCTAGTAGCTAGGATTACAGGCGTGAGCCACTGGTGTCCAGCTGGGGTCTTTTTTTTTTTTTTCCCCAGCAGGTAAAAGAATGTTATTTGGACCCAGACTAGTAAGATAGTTCATCAGATACTCTGATGCTCTTTGTATTTCTACTCCTTCCTTCTTAACCAATTGCTTCTGTGTTCCTTTTTTATCCCCCCACCCTGTGACCTACTACCTAAGAAAGGCAACTAAAGAGAAGACAAGACTTATATTTTACTCATAGTTTCAGAGGTTATAGTCCATGGTCATCTGGCTGTGAACTTGAAGCAAGTCTGAAATACCATGGCCTAGACCACTGCTTATCTCAGGATAACAGGAAGTAGAGAGAATGGAAGAGATTTGGAATAAAGTGTAACCTTTAAAGGTATGTTCACAGTGACCTGCTTTCTCCAACAAGGCCCCCATTCTCCTAGTTTCCAGGATTTCCTAATAAGGCTATCAAATTGATAAAGTCAGAGTCCTGGATCCAATCACTTCCCAAAAGCTCCACCATCTGGCAACTCAGCCTTTAACATATGAGCCTTCCAGTGACATTTCAGATCCAAGCTATAACAGCTTCTAATATTAGGATTACTACATTATCACAGTTACCAGCACTCCAGTCACCACTTTTGTGTTCTGGGAAAGTAAAAAAAGTAGGATGGAGGAACTAAAGTACAACATTAAAGAGTTTTCTAGTTGGGCTTAGGTAGCTCAAGCCTGTAATCCTAGCTACTCAGAAGGTTCAGATCTAGGACCTCTGTTCGAAGCCAGCCAGGACAGGAAAGTCCATGAGACTCTTATCTCCAATTAACCACCAAAAAGAAAAAAACAGATGTGGAACTGTGGCCCAAGTAGTAGAGTGCCAGCCCTGAGTGAAAAAGCTATAGGACAACACCCAGGCCCCAAGCTAGATCAGGAGGAACTGCTGCTAAGCTTTGACCTGTGCTGAGAATATTCAAAGAGGCTGGTGTTCATGTTAATGAACCTTAGTAAATGCCAGATATGGAAAATGAAGAGGCAGGACCAAATACCCAACTCCCCAAAGCAAAATCCAAAAGTGTAGTTGTCAAAAACATGAAAATACTGTTTAAAGCACATAGCAAGCTTTGGGCTATGAAACACACAGTGGCTCCATCAAAGATAGTAAAGCTTGCTTTCTTTTTCACCAGAATAGGAAATAAAAATGAAAAAAAAACCTGCTAATGAATTGATCGTGGTACACCTATGTTTATTGAGCACATTCTAAGTGTTCTATGCATTGTCTACTTTCCTCAATATAAACCAGTATTCAGAAATCATTAACTCCATTTTACAGACAGGAAACACTGACTCAAATACATCCAGCAGCTTGCTCAAGGTCACCGAGCTAGCACAAGCCGCAGCCAGGAATTGAATTTGGAGGAGTTAATGTAAAATCCTTGCTCTTTCTACCTCTGGTAGGAGAGCAGTGGGAGAGGTGTTCTGGGTGGGTGCTTTTTCCCTTTTATAGTAAACACTGTGCAAGAAACAGGCAGAAAGTTCCTAAGAGTCCCAACTATACATCACTTTCATTTGCATCTCTGACTATCCAATTTGTCCGATTTAAACAATGCAGCATCCTCAGAATTTTCTGAACTGAGGACATTGCTCTGTTGTGGTGGTGGTGGCAGCAGTGATTTTCAAATCATCCTCTTCTTTAATTCCAATGTGTAGTTGTAAAATGGCAAGACAAGTTGTGTCTGTGCGTTTTAACATTCTAAGCTCGTACTTCGTACATGCTGCATATCAACAAATGTTCACTAAAATAGTTGAAGGATTTTTGCAATTTGTCTGACTGAGCCTAGAGGCTGCCAGAGCGTCCTGTGCAAATCCGCAGCCTTCTCGAGGCAGGCAGAGAACGTTCCCTGAGAAGAAGGGTGGCCTGTTTGTGGCTCGGTTCTCCTGACCTTGGCGGGCAGCCTGTACGAGGTAGGAGCCCTTCTGCCCCCAGCCAGTGTCTTAACGATTACGATTACTGTGATAATGTAATCCTCTTTCAGATCTCAGTGCACCAGAGGCGCCATTCTGACTTAGCTCGAACCCTTCACAACTCCCAAAGACAGTTTATAGTTGTACATTTTGGCACGATCTGACTGAAGTCTCAGTCCCTGTTAGGGCAAGATCAAGAGGATAAAAGGAAAGTAGACAAGAGACCTCAGTAGATCCCAACAGGCTTTAATCATTGCTGCAGAGGGACTCCATGTAACACCGAGTAGGGTCGGAGAAACAAGGGGCGGGAGTGGGGGGTTTTAGGGCTTTTAAGTATAGACAGGGAATGTGTTCCTAGAACGTCCTTGTATTTGTAGCGGAGTATACAATGTGCTGGCAGCTGTGGCAGACAGTGCACTTTCGGATAAGGTCGGGGGTGAAGTTTTGCTGAGAATGACTCAAGGGCAGGGTTAAGATTTCCGGGGAGATCTTCAGGAGGGGTCCCTGGGGGAGGGTGGTCAGTGGGCCATGGGAGCCACATTGAGTTAGGAGAGCAACGCAGATTCCCATCAACCCGCCCCCCGCCCCATCCCCCGGGCAGGCAGGTCACTGTCATAATCCCGGGGCTCAGGGCTGGCCGTGGAAGCTTGAAGATGGAGGACTAAGAACATTTTGCGTTACCATTTGCCCCATTACATTCCTCCAGCCCTTCCGAGAAGTCTCACCGCTGTTCCCGGTCAAACGGTTCCAGCAAGAGCTGTACGGCTACTGTAGGTCAGATCGCCGGATACCAGCGCCCCGCCCCAATC